AATGTAGGAAAGGGGAAGGTAAGAGAGGGAAAGGTAAGATATAGGAGAATGTGTGAGAGGGGAAGCTATGCGAGGGGAAGGTAAGAGGTCTTACAACAGGGAAGGTATGAAAGAGAAAGGTAGGAAAGTTGTATTGAGGTAAGAGTTGTGCATGAAAATTAATGTGATTTAACAAGGGAATGTAGGAGAGGTGAAGTTAAGGGGAATGATTTAAAGGCAAAGTTATGAAAAAATAAGGCAAGGAATTTGCAGATGGAAAGAGTTCTGCATGGAATGAAAATGTGATAACGATAGGGGAAGATAGGTGAGGCGACGGTATAGAGGGGAATGTAGGAAAGTAAAAGGTAAGAGGGGGGAAAGTTTGAAAGTGAATGGTAGTTATTTTGTAAGTAGAATTAGGAAATAGTTGTACTGGAAAGTAAAATAAGAAATAGCAGTTTGGTATTTTGATAGGTAGGAAAGAGTTATGCATGAAAGTAGAATGTGAGATAGGAGAGGGGAAGGTAGGACATGGGATGGTATGGGGAGTGGAAGGTACACAGGTAAATGTTGTAAAGGAAAAGGTTAGAATGGGGAATATTGTGAAGGGTAAGCCAAAAGCAGAAAGTTAGGATAGGGTAGGGAATGGGGAAGGAAGGAGAGGGGTGTACAGGAAAGAGGAAGCTAGGAGAGGGGTAGATAAAACAGATGAACATTAAGTAAAGGGAAGGTGAAGAGGAAGGAAGGGTTTAAGGAGTCTGGAAGGGAGGAGGGGAAAAAACGGAGAAAGAAAGGATAGGGAATGGAAGGAAACAATAAGGAGGAAGTGGGAAATGCAGAAAAGGGAGAGGGCAAGGAAAGAAAGGGGAAGCAGAGAGGAAGCTAGGAGAGGAGAGGAATGGGGAAGGAATGAGAGTGGGAGCCAGGAGAATGGAAGTTAAGGAATCTGAAGGTAGAAACAAGTGTTGCAGAGAAGAAATATAATGTTAGTTAAAACTCAAAAATTTAAATTTAAAAAAATACCCTTATCAAAATTATACCTCTTCGAAACATCCTTCACCCTAAAACAGTCTTATCTTAAGTCATCAGCAGATCCTAGTTCCAGTCCCTCAGCTGCCAAAGAAATCACAAACTATTGGTTATAACAGGGATAAGAAGACAAGTGGTAATATCAAATTTCTCCTGTGTGTGTAAACATTAACCTCCTCCACGAGGGAGGGGTAGCTGCTCTCAGAGTTTTGGAGTTGCTCCCAGGGTTTTGGAGTAAAAATCGGAAATTTATCAGAAAAGTCAATTAAAAAGGGTACTTATAAGCCGAAAATTAAAAAAAGGGCTCTGCTACCCCCTTTTTATGGTCTTTGTTCAGGTATTTGTGGAGAAAAAAATCGCAAATTTTATTCACAGTAGTCTGTGGCGATCATATAGTTTTCAAGCATGCGCACTGGACACTCAGTATCTAATAAGTAACAGAATTACATTGATGGAAAAATCTGTGTTCTATCAAGCCATGCATCAGGTTTTACGGTCGGAAATATATATGCATCAGTACAAGCTGTCCAGAGCTTGAGATAATTTTCATAAAATTGGATTGCCATACTAAAAGTTTTAATTGATGTAATGCATATAAAGCATGTATTAATAATCTTGTGTATTTCCCACTTCAAATATACGCTGCAAGAATCGTCCGTATACAGCTCGCCATAATTTAGTTATGGCAGCAACTAGGGCTGGTGATCTGAAGAAACATATTGATAATATACACTGAAGTGCGAGATAGCCATGTTCTTTTTGTGTAATTGCAGCAAGTGCCCTTTAACAGTCACATATAAAAGAAACACCCAAGGAATAAAATATTCTTGTCTTAATTGTGAATATTTTGCAACTACGGCTGAAAGATAATCGAGGATAAATCATAAATATGGTTCCAAATAAGGTAAATGACTTAACTCCTCATTCAAAAGTTCACGGCTTTGGACTTACTTAACCCACTGATTTTAAATTCAGTGAAACATAAAACGTTTATATTTTTCCAAGAAAATGTAAAGAATCACAGAAAAGATTCAATTTTTTCTCTCAGTCAATTATCTTCCTTGAACATATATATGTACATTGTACATAGTACATGCACAAATAGTAAACGTATTTTTTATTCATTATACAAACAAAAATTAATAAGTTTAAACTTCAAGTTTCGAATTTAATTTACAAAATTGTCCTCGATATAATTTATTCACATAACCTTTAAATATTGATTCAGGTTTTTTTCAAATTACAAGAATATGTCTTTTGGTTTAACTTTCACATGATTCTAATAAAGTAAATTTTTAAAGTGTACACAGATTTATTTTTTTCTTTTACATACAGTTGAAACAAATATAAAAATCTACGAACAAATATCATAAAACAAAATTATCATCAGAAATTTTTAATGACTAGCTTCAAGATTTTGTTAAATAGAAAAGAATTTTTATATGTCAGAATAATTAATAATTTTGTTGTTTTAAAAAGTTTAAAGGATGAGTTTAAGAGATATCCGGTTCTAGATCTCTCCAATATCCCGCCTTGTATACTATACTACAGGGTGTCCCAAAAAAAACATAGGAACTCAGTAACGAATTCAATATTGTCTTTTCAAATTATTCTTTGATTTAGTATAGTGATACCTACTGAGAAAGCTGTTTTCGTCTGCTGTTTACAATTTGTTTGTTTATGTTTTAACTGTATACAGTTCATCTCACTCAATTATTCATTAAAGACATGTTCACTTTTATTACACTAAATTTTGTAATAAACTTGATGCAGTAGCTGCCAGCTCTGCATACTGGTTACCAGGCTTGGGTCTGTGATAGAACCTGTACGACTGAATTTTAACACTTTAAATGAAGAAAACAAAACATTTTTAAATTTAAATTCGTTTTCAAATTTGCTATTCAAACAACCTAAAAGCCATAAAAGCCATCTGCCTTATTTGAAATATGATATATTTTTCTTTCTTTTATATGTTAAAACTACATTCCTGTCCGGTGCTGCATTTTTTATTTTGATAACCCTCTCTTTGTCTCAGTGGAAATTCAAATGTCGATTTGAACTGAAATGATTTAAAATAATTAATATTTTTATTTTCTTTAATAATAAATCTACTTTTTAAACTCCCATTCCATTTACAGTGAAATAGGATTAGAAAATCGAATGGAACAGACCTCCAGCATATTCGCAGGGTGTGGTAATGGTGGTTTGATAACATGGATTTCCACTGCTCCATCTTCCGTCCCTTCATCTCCCTCTTCATCCTCATCTTCCTGAATTTAAAAAACTCCTAATGATTTATATTTCCTATAAAAATTTCATAGAACAATCTATATTTCCCAAAAACCATTTTGAGAAGTGCTACGTTACAATAATGCAAAGACGATTAATTAATTCTGTAACTTTTCATTGTTACTTAAGTAAAGTGTAAAGTGAAAATTGACAATCAATAAAAATGTATTCTGGTCTAAGTAAACATTTCCAAGCTGTATAGTAGTAACCACATGCAGGGTGTATATTAGTTCTGGGCCATATTTTTTGTCCTCCCCCCACTTCCCTTTTATCTTATTTTATCCCCAATGTAACAACACAAAAATCCAAATTCCTCTTTCTCAATTTTCCTTTTACCCTACCATGGTGTAAAAAATCATATTTTTTAACCTAACAGGTTTGGCATATGTTTCCTGAGTGAGCCAAAACTAGCAGATAAGATCAAATTCACTTTTTTCTTTTTTTTTTGTTTTTTTTTTTTTTTTTTTTTTTTTTCCTTTCTTTTTTTGTTTTTTCCCTTGGGGGGGGGGGAAATATGAAAAAATATACACCCCTGTTGTATAGTAACTTATGTATGTATGAAGCTGCAAAATTCTTTAACCCCTTGCCTGATTTGCCTCAAATTTTGATTGGATAAACTGTTATAACAATTGGAATGTTCTCAGATTGCTTTTATTTTGTTGTTGGTGAAAAATCATTTCTAATATTTGACTGACTGAAATATATAAAAAAAATAAACCTTGAGATAAATGGGAGCTTTTACAGATAGATAGGAAAAGTTTTTCCCTAGCTTCATCTCATACATTCTGGTAAGAATGCCACTCCCCATGATACCATCGATCTTTGTAGCAAGGAGGGAACTGGTTTGATTCTCCGCATGGGAGCCCAAGGTGCTGAAGAAGTATTCACAGTACGGACTAGTAAGAATACCTCGGGGATAAATTGACTTTCTCAAGGAAAGATTCAGAACAAGGGTTGTCCAAACATTTATCAAGATTCCCTTTAAAACCAAGTCTAAAATTTTTTTAAAAATTACAATTTTGATGGATTAATGACATTTTGTTCATTAAGCAGTTCAGTAATTTAATTGACAACAAACATCTTAAATATATGAAAAGCAAAGTATGAATAATACAATAAAAAATTTGCAGAAAATTTGGTTCCTGGAAAGTGTAAGTATGTACTCCTTGAACATAACTGAATAAACCAATGTTTTTGATTTTGCAATTTGAATACTTTTAATCGAATTTTAATTCTTCTATTTAAAGTAAGAATAAACTTGAAATGGCATAATGGCATTTATATGATATAAAATATAATATTAATTATGAACAAGCATTAACCTTATTTCAGCCGGGTGTAAACAGCTCAAAAAAATTTGGTCTGTGGCTGTTTTTCATTTTTTATTTTACTGACCAACACATGCCCCTTGCTTTAGGCTTAAGTGGGGATTTTCTACCGATTGCTTGAGTCCTATTTTACTTTTAGCAGACTTAATCTATATTTAGATTTTGAAATTTTACTGCTTTTTTGACATATTTAGATTCGCTGGGACAAGGGCTTTTTTAAAAATGTATAATTTATAAGAGTTTGGGCATTTTTTTGCTATACAACTTTATTTTTCAATAACTATTTGAAATTTTGCAAATTTTCAATTGTTTGTCAGATTATTTAAGTAAAGCCCAATGCTTTCTAAAAAAGTATCAAATGTAAATTTACGTAAAGGTAAGCATTGTTTCCCTAACATTGAAATTAGAGTAGTTGTAAATATCCACCATATCTTGAAGTTGTACTAGCAGCCATTCCAGAGCTTTCAATCTTGAATCAGGTTCTATCCTGACGTTCTGTAATGTTTCATAATAGATCCGGAGAAATCTATTAAAAATCTTAATTATAATTAAATTCTAGGTATTAAGGACAAATTAATTTCAATGTCTTTTATTTTGATTTTAGTTTGAACTTTACTTTTTATGGTTTAATACAAATTTCACTTTGTAATCCAGATTAAATTGTGATAACAAAAAATATTTAGAAAAGAAAAAAAGAAGAGAAATGGTTAATTTTTTCCTACCTGCAACAGTTGGCTGTCAACAAAAACTAAGAACTTTGAATTTGTCGGGGTTTAGGAGGGTTCCTTGCAAACAACCTAGGATATTTCACAGATTTCATAATAATTATAATCAGGGCATTTTTAATAAAAATAATTGATTAACTTTGAAATTTTAGACAGTTGGCATTAACAAGTAATTTAATTTAAAATAAAAAACTCCAATACTGATTAATAATTTTTTAAACAAGTTACCTCAGAGCCGCTTCAACTTGTCTGGAATACATGATTGTAACCTTGGATTCTGCCTAAAGAACCATTAATTGGACATCTATTAAATTTTTTAACTGTTTTACTTTTTGTATGTTCTTATACTATTTAGCTATACAATCCAT